ATGACAGTTTTTCCTTTATATGTATACACAGGTAACCTTATTTGGAAATTTTACCCCCCCCCCTCCCAATCCGCGAGTGTGTAGGACCACTGTGCAGGGTAAAAATGTGACCAAAGAAAATGGAATGAGCTTAAAGTGACGATTGACTACCTAACTGACAACTTTTGCTCCTGAGAGACAGTTATGGACATTTCATCGACAAAAAAATTGCACAATGTGAAAAGAAACTTAATTTCATAACAAACGTACTGTTCCTTGTACATTGATCATATTTGACGAACTCGACAAAATGTGCACGAAATTAACCTGCCGACAGTTGTGCAGAAAATATCGATTGGAAAGCCTGCGGTGTAGTTAGTGGACATAATTCACTGAAAATGAAAGAATCTCCACTGGAATATTGCTTTAACAATAATTTACTATTTTAATCTATCATTTAATGTAGCTTTTGAAAACCGTTATTTTCGACTGGCTTGTCGACTACGGCAAAATGTAAAAACATTCAAACTAAACTGCTTTCTGGTATACATGTTAACACGAAGCTGCACAACTCGATGAAAAAATAAATATACAGCAGATCATAGAGCTACATGTAGACGTGCAATATATGTAAGCCACTTTTGGGCCTTTTTTTCTAAGCAGGGCTATCTCAGAGTATTTTATGCCAAAAATCTCAAAACATTTCACTGTACTGATGTTTTCACTTTATTTTCCCCAAAAATTCTTCACATTGCCTTCATCAGGAAATTGCCGATTCACGATCGCTATTTTCATGTGTAAACAAAATCAGTCTTCTTCACTTTCCGAGATTAAAAGAGCCTAGACACAGATTTGAAGTTAATATTTTCTCAAATTTTCTGTATAATATCATGACTTATAGCATTTCACACGGAAATATAATAAAAGCGTGTTCGTAAACTTGTTTCATCTGGAAATTATTGAAACGAATTTCGGGACGCGTTTGATTGACACATCCTTGCACTTTCACAAAGTAAACTCTATCATGTGTCAATCATGTGTCAAACGCGTCCCGAAATTCGTAGTTTCAATAATTTCCAGATAAAATAAGGATACGAACACGCTTTTATTATATTTCCGTGTGAAATGCTTTGCTAATTCTTTAGTAATTCTTTAGTAGTTTATTATCTAAATAATTTTTGGTATCAAAAACTGATGGCAAATCTGTATTGTGGAAATAGATGACTGAGGCCTAGGAAATCATTTCTCCGTGATACTGATTGCTTGAAAAGTAAAATCCATGTATTATCTGCTGCTTTTGCAAGAGTGCCAAATGTGTTTTATACATTTCTCTATTTAAATGTTCACCGTATTTTTAATATACTCATTTTAATATCATGACAGTTTTTCCTTTATATGTATACACAGGTAACCTTATTTGGAAATTTTACCCCCCCCCCCAATCCGCGAGTGTGTAGGACCACTGTGCAGGGTAAAAATGTGACCAAAGAAAATGGAATGAGCTTAAAGTGACGATTGACTACCTAACTGACAACTTTTGCTCCTGAGAGACAGTTATGGACATTTCATCGACAAAAAAATTGCACAATGTGAAAAGAAACTTAATTTCATAACAAACGTACTGTTCCTTGTACATTGATCATATTTGACGAACTCGACAAAATGTGCACGAAATTAACCTGCCGACAGTTGTGCAGAAAATATCGATTGGAAAGCCTGCGGTGTAGTTAGTGGACATAATTCACTGAAAATGAAAGAATCTCCACTGGAATATTGCTTTAACAATAATTTACTATTTTAATCTATCATTTAATGTAGCTTTTGAAAACCGTTATTTTCGACTGGCTTGTCGACTACGGCAAACAAGTATACGTCACCCTCTTGGCCGCATTCTGGACCTTGACATTAAGAGGATACGTCACACTTCAAACGTCAAGTGGAATGCGAGGGAAAATTGTTTGAAATTTAACATCAAAAAGTCTGGAAATAAAAATGCTTTACGTGAAATATACAACAGTACATGTACAACGTGGTTGGCAATTATCCCCTTATTTTTCGTTTATGCCGCAAGATATGGATATCAAAATATAGATTCAGATATACATGTAGATTTAAAGAAAGCCCACATCAAGAAAATCTCGGTCTAAGGTCCTCTTTGACTATATTTTCTAGATTTCCTATCAAAATATCCGAAATCTGATATTTTTTTTAAAAGTAATCAATATTGTCACTACTGAACATGAGTTATGCAAAGTATCTTTAACACACAGTTTCCTTTTTCCGGGCTAGTTTTTCTTTTAATGAACAACAGTTTTTTAAAGTATTTATTGGTCAACCGATTCTGAAGAAGTGAAAGGTGATAAGGGTTCCGTCCGTAGAAAAAAAATTCTTCAGTGAATTGCAACATTAAAATTGCAAGTTAACCGAATATAAATTATAGGGGCGGATCCAGGATTCGAAGTTAAAGAGTCACCAGCTGATTAGACATGCAGGAGGTCTGGGGGTCGCTTTGAGGCCCAGGTTGCGAATCCTCCAGAAGCTCCTGGATTCTAGAGATTTCGTATAGGTCAAAAATGGAATTTTCTTCTACTTCTTTTCGTCGTTATCTATGGTGAGAATTAATATAATTACGAATATTTTAAGGTCTGTGGGATCAGTCTTAAAGTTAGGACTCCAGAAGTTCCTGACTTGCAAAATATATATGTAGACGTAAAACCTTTTATTTGCACTTCTTTTTCGATAACTAATTTCTTACAAGGAACCATGATTTATCTTGATTTTGACAATTTTAGGGGCGCGCACCGGTGCTTTCCGATAGCATACAAATTTTAAGATTCATTTATCCTAATGATTAAAAAATTTGATCCCATGTTACATATTTGTAATTGATACAATAAATCCTTTGTAAACCCTTTTCCCCTTAATAAAAAAATAGATATGAAAATTATAAGCTACATGATATCTTATTGATTTTTTTTCAGTCTATTTGAAAACTGAAGTCAACGGTGTGCAATATGTAAACTGAATTAAATGTTACAAAACGAAAACAAACAAACCAACAAACAAAACACACACAGACACAGATCTAGATGAATATGAGCATGATGCTTAATTTTATCAATAACATAGATATGTGAAATATCTATCGCAATTCTGTGATAAAAGATCTTCCCTGGTGTTTGACTTTTTGTATGGACGGACAATTTATAGACTTGCCTGTTGCCCAATCCATTCAAATTTTCTGAATAAATATTGTTTTAAGGCGGAGTTTTCGTAGTATTTATTAGATTTTGGGGCAATCGCAACATTACATGTAAATATCCTAAATACGTCGCTGAGAAGAAAATTTGGTTTGTCTTAGACTCAATGCGACATCGGATTAAAACTTCAAAGGTAATAAATATTCCATTATCAGTGTAAAGAATGTAACAATGGGGAAGGATTATCGGACTAAATAAACACCAGGAAGCCATTGCTTTTTGCCTTTCTCTCCTTTATTAGAATTACATGTGGGGTAGGGTGGAATAAGACGAGCGTTATTGATAAAGAAAAAATCTTTTTTTTTTATTTTTTTTTTTTTAATTGCATTCGTTTAAGACAATTGCCTGTTGTCTCACGTATCAATACAGGTTTTACTACAACAACTAAAATAATTCAGATGTTGCATTTACAGGCATCAAAACAGCAACTAAAATAATTCAGATGTTGTATTTACACATAACAATACAACAACTAAAATAATTTATATTTTGTAATTACAGGTTTTAATACAACTAAAATAATTCAGATGTTGTATTTTCAGGTATCAATACAGCAACTAAAATAATTCAGTTGTTGTATTTATACGTATCGAAATAGCAAATCTAATTCAGATGTTGCATTTCGTAGAATATGAGAAACTATACAAAATATTTACAGTGACTCTAGATTTTTTTCTCGAAAAGTCCTATGCATATACTCGAGTGTTATTATGTCAAAAATATATATTCTATATTTATTCAATTCAGTAAATTAAAATTTACAGTACAACATTTTAAGTATCATTAGAGTATTGTCATGTTCTAAATTTTGAATTTACCGGGTGGGAGTAAATACAAAATTTAGAACATGACAGTATCGCAACAAGTGACAAAGAAGAAGGTTTCAAGGCCGTACGACATGATTCTCTATAAATCAGAAATTTTGCAATTTACAATGTTTGTATAATTTATCATATAATCATTTATGATCTAATAATCCTGAAATTAATAATTTTGTGATTTTTGTTCAAATAATCTGTTTCACTAGGATATGATTGAATTCAATGACCTTGTGATTTCAAGTTGTAATTTGTAATAGTGACCAAACGCTGGGTATATTTAATGTTTTCTTTCTTTAGATCGGCACTACTGCGTATTTTAATCCTTAATTCCAAATCGTATCATTTTATGAACGATTAAAAAAATATTGATTATTTTAGCTGCAGCATCTCATTAATAACTCGTTCTTACATCCAAACCGTGCTCAGTGGTGGAAAAAAAGCTTTCCAAGTGCATGAAAATGGTCAGAGAGGACGTATCCGGAAGTTATTTAAATTTGAAAGGCAAGCTAAAGTCACAACGGGTTTATCGATGTTCCTTGTTCAAACAGACTGAAAATAAATCAAATGATTGTTGTATATTAAAATCAAGATTATCATCATGTCTCTGAGACAAGCTACCAACAGAAGGAAAGGGGTTCAAGTCTCGACATTCTGAGTTCAAGCCTTGTCATTTTATCATTTATGTATCGAAAATCAATGCACTTACACAAAGGCAGCAGTTTTAGTTTTCGTGTGAATATTTAATAGGTATATAGATCCATATAGCGGGTATGTGGCGCTGTGAATAACAATACGATGTCTCCTGGTTTTATACAATAAGACATTGTCATTGCTTATTATGTTTAAGGAAAAATCGAAGAATATTCCTTATATTGTGTTCAATTGGATTTTTTTTTAAAACGTTGAAATGATTTATTTGGATTTATTTGCAGTATAATTCTCCAGTACTGTCTTCCTAGTCTGAGATTCCGTTGGCAGTTTTGGAAAACAGGAAAAAGGCAAGGACATAAGGTAATCTTTTCAACACAGAAATCGTAAACCCTTATACTCAAAGCGTGTTTGAAGCTCGTTTGTGTTTACCACGATCAATTATTCAAAACTGGTATATTTATTTAAAACATCAGAGGCCAGTGACCTAGGCGACAGGGAACTCTACTGTTTTTTTTAATTTGAGGGCTCGCTTAAATGGAGCAAAACGTAATCTAGCCGTTTAAATCATCAATACGCAACATTATCTAATATTTCAATGGAAATTCTTTGCTTTGGAGAAAAAAAAATTTAGTGTGCAAATTTAAAGGGCTCCATTTCTTGATTGCACAGAGTATTTTGCGTGTAGGGTACTTGGTTACCTATGGCGATAAGAATTCTGACAGTACAGGAAAACCTCATCATAAATCTCACCTTTCGTCAACAGTATTATTGATAGTATTGGAAAGTTGTGTAAACTTTAAAAAGTTTAAATAGACTGTTATCGTTCTTGTGTGTCTGATTCTCTTGAAGGTTTGGAAGAATGGCAGGACCTTAAGCATGCTCGAACCTTCCTGTTTTCAATGTCGCAGACTCCTGACAAATCAACCTGCGCACAATGGGTAAGTAAAACCCAGCTGTCCTCGACATTTACTCACAAATTATCTGGGTCATTATTTATATTTTGTTTTCTTAAACTTCTGCCGGCTTCTTTATTTCCACCTGCAAACCTTTTGAAATTTAGACTTTATAGCTTGCTCTCAGAATTTAAGCCGATCACATTCTTACTATAGCAATGGTGTATATGTATTCATAATTATGCAGTCATTTCAGAAGAGTGCCATTCTTAATTTCAATTGAGTGTTATAATTACTGAACTAATAATATCTCAAAAAGCGGTATTCAAATCGGGTTCTGCTTTGTTTTAATTTTCTTGAATATGTGTACTTCGTTTACAAACTAAGTCTTCATTTAAAATTAATATAGATCTACATCGCTTTGTCAAATTATTATTTAAACATTATACATTGATTAATAACAAGGAAAGCTATCTCATACAAAAAGAAAAAATAAACGATCACACCTATACAAACCAACTTCTACATTTTTCAGTGCAGTGTTTTGTATAATAAGAAAATCTTTGGTTTGTGAATTCTTTTCATTAATTTGAAATCGCTCAGTTTGCACTGAGAAAGATTTCTTAAAATTGACAAAGCAGACAAAGATTGTATTGGATCATTGCCACTTGTTCATAAGACTGTATATTTCTACAACTTTAAAAATTTCCGATCGACTATATTGACATGTGTACAAGTTAAAATATACATTTAACAAACTACTGAAATTGATAGCATTTTCGTGACAAGGGTCTCATTATTCATACATAAATTAGAGGGTCTTGTTACGGGCTCGGGATTGCGTTTTAAGAGTCGATGAACCATGTAGTGCGCTAATGAATGTTCAATGAAAAGAAAATATCATAGGTTTTAGTTTATTATAGCTTGAGAGTTCCATTGCTGAATAAATGTATTTTCATTTTATTTTTATTATCCAAAAATTGGTTAGATAATAATCATCGAATTAGTCGAAATCTATTCGTCAATGGAAATAATTTTCAAAGAATGCAAGACTACATGTATAAAGTTAAGGTTCTATTTTTGCAAATGAAACTATTAACAAATTATAGTCTATAATAAATTAGCAATTACATGTATGTTAGAGACTCTATGAGGTAAAGTAAAGTGAGCCAACTAATGCACAAAGATCCTACTTTTTAAAATGAAAATAATTGAGCTAAAATTAACAGGAAACAGTTTTAAAATTGTAAAAGTGAAAAAGCATGTACAAACGATTAAATGGTCAACAGTAATCAATACGGAAAAAATCATTTCCACAGAATACATGATTACTGAGTTCATTAACACATGTGCAATTAAAATGCAGAAAATTCAAATGCATTGGACCTATCCAGAATTCTATATACTCAGTATATTAATGAAGCTTATGTTCTTTTGATTTAACATTGTACATGTATGAGAAAGGAGCCTCGTTTCTTAAATAAAAATAACATTGGTGGAATTTAAAATCGTAGTTTTAATTGATGTGGCACTTTACTTTCCTGCTTTCTTGGTTGATTGAGTGGCCCATTTATTGAACCAACACGGGTAAGGCATAGCTGGGAAAACAATGAACTTCAAGGAAAATAAAAAAAAAAAACCTCTCGAAACTTTAAAAGTCATATCATCTTAAAATCTTTGCGATTTAAATTTCTATCAATTTCACAGATTGCTCATCCATAAGAAAATAAATTCAAAATTATTGGCAAAAACATAAAGAAGATATTCTCTATTTTTAATACTTAGCACTGTGCAGAATACTTGTTCAGTTTATAACGTATCATATTTTGTTTTGCCACTGCCTGTAAACGGTTATAAATGTATTTAATCAAATGTTGTCAGTCGTTCAGTTACTTTATTTAGGAATCTCTATACACCAATGATTTTTTTTTTTTTGGCTTTTAGAAAATTGTATCTTATAAAGATGTACATATTGTATTTATCTAATTCACAGGGTACCTACCATATTTCTCCAGAAAAAAAATGTTCAAAGATAATGAAAAACTAATGATCAGAAATTACTGTTTACGTACATGGGGGAAATACATGGAAACAATGTTTTCATGTACTCTATCTTGGTCTAATATAATGTTAAGAATAGTTTAATCTATTTCAAATTATGTCATTTGTTGTATATTTCTGTTTATTTATTTCATATCAAAGGGTAGATTGCTCTAACTGCATAAACTGCCGTATAATTAGAACTCTTCAGTGAGCAGTGTTTGAGGTTCCTTAAAAGAAAAAAAAAACCTTACTTAGAATATGAAAGCTTGGCACCATTGTGGCATATTAATGTCTTCCTTGAGAGCCGTTCATCTGTTTCGTATGGAAATCTATTCAGTATCAAAATTGGATTGAATACTTTGAACAAATCTGTTAGGTATCAGAATGTGATTGCATGGATACAAAACTTGCGAGATTTATGCATGAATTTCAATTAGAAATGAGTTTAAGTGGGGTAGTTCCGCTGATCATTGTCTTTTTAGGTGAAGAATTATTCGGGCTAGAATGAGTATGATTTCTAGTTATGAAATCCTTACAATTCAATTATTGAATGAAGCCCCTTCCCATGTATCCACTACTTTCAATTTTGGGTTAACTACACAAAGTTTACATCTATAAGTGTGTTTCTGTCTCAGTTCAAACTCATAAAGAAACTAAGACAAATTTACGTGTACAATTTTCCCTCAATGACACGAGTAGAGCCCGAGGAGGGAGGAATATCTCTGACTACGAACCTTTACCAATACCGGAACTCACGAAATTTAATTATTTTATTTTGAAAATACCTTCCCTTCCACCGAAAAAAGATTAATAAACTGGGAAAACTATGACAATTTTTCTCTTTATTATCGGACATTTGAGTAATATTCTACAAAAGTGCATTGAGCTCATTTTCGTATGTAAATAAATATTTTCGCGTTATAGCGCTAAACTTTCACGAATAAACGCGAAATTATATATAAAGTCATGTTTTTCCAGGAACCGTGATGTGATCGTATCATACGCTGTTGTGGTGCACTTTATTGTTAAATTTAATGCATTTTCCAATAGTTTTATAGCTCCTTTCCAAGAGGCTTTAATAGCCTTAAATGTCTATGATCACCCAGCCTCCTAAATGATCTAATTGTTTATGGATATTAAAGATTTTTCAAGTGCTCATTTATTGTAACCCTCAGCTAGTCAAGTTTGAGACATAAATAACGTTATATATATATATATATATATATATATATATATATATATATATATATATATATATATATATATATATATATATATATATATATATATATATATATATATATGCATTATAACGCGTAACTTTTGCGTTATAACGCGAAAAATATTTTTTTTAACCTACGAACATGAGCCCAATGGGCTTTCGTAATATTCCGTTGATACTTATCTAAAAAAAAATGCTTGCTTGCGTTTGTTTTGGAAAAGATTCATTTAAACTCTGATGACGTAAATAATTAGATTACCCATCATTATTCTGATTACGTCGATGAACAAAAGGAAGTAAATTCTAACCATAATTAGTAACATATATTGCTTTATAACTATTTTTGCACGATTAACTGCCAAGGTATGTCTATAACGTTCTATTTTGATGGACATTACCAATTTAGTTCACGTTCTTTAGTTATCATGTAAGTGCCCTTTAATTACTGGTGTTACGTAACGTTTTCTTTAAATAGTCTTCTTAGAAACTTCATACTTCGAGATTTTCTTTTTCTCTATCAAAGATGTGCGAATGTTTTTATATTTGTTTGCAGTGGAAAAGAAAATACAAATTTTATAATGTAATTATGTTTCCATAATAAAGATTACCTTTGTTATTGTATAAAGATCGGAAAAGATTGTCAGGGGTTTGTTACATGTAATAACGGATAAACGGATATATTCTTATGTCCTTTTTAATGGGAGTTTAGAGTTTTAGATTTCATAGGAAAGGATGTTAAAAAAGTCAAATAACAGGAGAGATATATACCAGTGAGTTTATATAGCTAAGAATCGTGATTAATGGTTTAATAGATTGAATTTGAAGCTTTTTAAATAACTGTAGTGTGTTTATTTTGTGGATTTCGTGGCTTTTTAAATAAAAAAAAGTTAAAGGAACGAGAACAATTATAAAAGTCGTTACTTGTCCTGGTGACCCTTTCTTACTTGAAAATGAAAACGAAATGCTAAGTCTTGATAAATGCTTATAATTTTACAGGACAGTTTCTACTGAATTTTAACGTATTCGCATTTGCTTACGGTAAACAGCTTCGGCAAGTATTCAGTACTTCGATTTTATATAACTACATGTAGTTCGATCAATTCAGATAAAACATATCAGTTTCGCAGAAATTGAAGTATATTAAAATTTCCCGACAAAGTGTAAAAGACCATATGCTCCATCGATACTTGTTTTAAGCACTACTAAATTCCCTGTAACCATGACAACGTGTAGCTGTTGTCATCTTTATTTTTTTTAATTTTATCTATGTCTTGAAATCATGAGCGAAATATTGATTTCCCAACGCTTAGTGTGACAAAGTAGTCATATAAATGATGCTCTTAAGAAAATTGTCTTACTTAAGCAGTTAACATGCTGTATTATACTGGTTCTAAAAATTCTGGTTCTTATAGGCCGGTAAAATTCGTTGTTCAGTTCATTTGATTGGAATGGTAGAGTTTTGGAAAGAATTCTAAGCAATGGACATGCATATGGACCTATGATTTTACGTACCTGTAAACTTTTATCATCCGCTAAAATGTTTTTTTATCAGATAATAACTCTTATCTTCAAATCTGTCCGTTTCTTGTCGTCCTTAATTTGATTTTAAAAAATGTCGACTTGTACAGCAGACCGAAAAAGAAATTAATAAATTAATTTAAATCTATCTATTTAAAGTTATTAGAATAAAAGTATATCCTTATAAACAATGTATTCGCCTCACTAATTAACAATTTTCAATTGCCAATGAGTACTTGAATAATTGTCAATAGTCATATAT